CCACAAGGGCTCTTCCATTGAATGCAAAGCCCTTGAATAACCATTCAAAGGAAGGGAAAGTGGGAACTTTTGCAAATGCTAACAACAAAGGAAAAAACATCCATGTGAAGCAATGTTATTTTTAGACCTTTGACTTTTTTCCAAATATTATACAGAAAAGAAATGATTGAATGATTGTTTTTACTTCTGTACCATAATGTAATAGATGGAAAAGCATGGACTAACTGCACATTAAAAAAGTACCCACAAGGCAGCTCTGTACTAGCAGAGGCCTTTCGGTGCCGAACACCCTCTAGCCGGTCACTCAGCATGGCGGGCTTTGTGCTGTGCTGCACAAGCCCTGTGTCCTTCAGCAGCTTTCACAACATCTTATCTTCTGCTTCAAACAGATAGAACACAACCTTTGCAGAGCCTCTTCTCCAGAGGCCTTGCGCTGCTTTACAGCACATTTCGCCCTGTCACGTGCCCGCTCCCCGCAGCAGGAGCACGAGCGGGACGTGGCCGCGCAGAGGGGCCGGAGCTGCCTCGCGCGCTGCCCTCGGCCCGGGCGGCGGTGCCTTGCGCTCACACGCACTGCTTGTGTCCCTGGGGACCCTCCTTTGCCTGTGCAGCAGCCAGTCTTTCTGAAAGGGGTTTTCACACAGTCTCCAGAGAAGAGCTGATCCTTATTCTGTCTGAACCCTCCTCCAGTACAAATAGCCCAAAAATGCCTTGGCTGCACTGCTGTTTGGAGCTTAGCCCCATTGTCTGGTGTCCGCATTCAAGTCACTATATTCATTGACTTGTATTTTCACACACCAAATCCCTCCCAGGAAGGACAGAAAGTCGTCTGACGTTCCTGGAGCTGTGCAGAGCACAGTCCATTACACTGGTTAAACGATTTGCAGCTGCAAGTTCATTATTCTGCTTGTAAAGGTTCTTCAAAGAGAGATAAGAGAAACGGCTCTTAAAAGCAGACAAGGAGATCTGCCTTGCTTTTGGCATTATTGCTTAATTTCAATATTTTCAAGAACCAAGGACTATTTTAATGTAAATATGGGACTCCATAAAGTCAGAATATTGCTTTTTTCAGGAAGTGGGGAGCTGAGAATTGATGTAACTTTAGTAACCAAGCTGCCCAAAGGCACTAAGCCTGGCTTGATCACAGCACACGCACAGCTGCCAAATGGATCCTCTCAGATAAACTTGGCTTCATCGATCAGTTTCCAACAAGTTCTGCAATCTCAAAGGTACCTACCTCTGCCCTTTGGCTTGGTGGTAGGTGATGCAGAGAGACAGGTCCCCAAAGAGCAAAAGGAGGTGTCTGAGGATCCCTGTAGAACCACTGGAGAGGGACTTGAGTGAGAATCAGGATGCACTTCCACTTATTGAGATTTTGTTAGAGAGCAAGATTCAAATCCAGGTTAGATGTGCATGTGCCCCTGCATGGATTGAGGCAACCTAGCTGTGAGAAGTGCTTCCAAGATCAACGACTTTATGTGGAGGGGCATTTGTAGCTGTTGCACAGGCACTGCTGACTTCCTTTGGGTGCTCCTAACTCTGCTTTATACAGAGCATTTTTCCCATTGAAAGATGACCAAACACCGGCAGACCTAAGTCCAGGCCGGAGCTCTGAGGATGTCAGGAGCATTCGTTCTCTGCTTATTCCTCTTGCCATAATGAAGAAAGGATAGCTCCCTTTCAAAAGTTTAAAATTTATTTCAGATTATAGGTTTTTTAACAAAACCCATGGAAGAGGGAGGGCCTTAAACTGGATATGTTATTTATGTTTTATCAGCTCCAGATAACTCATGCAAAACAAGTCTTGCGGTGGAACAACCACACAGTTTTGACAGAGCTCATTTTAAAGCAAGACCATCCAGAGGATGTTAGCATGTAACGGTGGCAAAATGAGCCAGATTTTTACAAAAACATAAGCTTTTGACAACTACCTGGTGGAAAGAATTTGCTTTAAGGCAACACGACTTCGGCAGCGTGCCCAGCTCCCAGTCCTCGCTGACGGGAGGCAGAGCTGGCCTCGGAGGTGCGGACAGAAACCAACAGCGCAGTTGAGGTGGGAGCAGCGCATCCACCGCAGGACCCTGCCAGGCCAGGGAAGGCCGCGGCGCCCAGCCCTGTGTAGGGGAACACGGGCACATGGGCAGCTCGAGGGCCAGCGTCCCACGTGCAGCCCTCCGCGGCGGCTGAGGGAGGCCAGAGTCGGCCTGACGAGCAGCGGGAAGGATGGGGCGAGAATAAACTCTGCGTCTCCCCGCACAGCAAAGCCCAGGGGCTGGCAAAGACCTAGCCAGTAGGAGGAACCTGGGCCTGGTTTCCGCATGTGTTCGAGGTCCCTTGGTCCTCTTCCTGGAGGCCTCTTGTAAGTGTGAGTATTCATCGACCATGGGCCAACAGAAATGTTTTGGGGTTGTTTTTCTTCAAATTAGCAGGATTCAGTGTTAGCCTGGGACCTCGCACTCACCCCAGCCACCTCACCTGACTCTGCGTAGGAAAGAGGATGAATTCAAAACCACCAGAGGCAGGTAGAAGAGAGGTCTACAAAGCAGCATTTGTTTTTAACAGCAGACATCCTGTTTGCAGAAACATTCCAGAACAGTTATGGTATGGAAATGCCAATTGCAGTAGCACAAAGCCCAAGTATTCCAGCTATTAAAAAGGAAGCTAGTGTTAATATCAGGTTGATGTTGTTATTTGCTTATAACATGAGATGAGAGACTCGGGTGCTTATCCTACCTGTGCCACCAGCACAGGCAGGTTAACCGCGGCAGCGCTCGCTGCTGGATGGGCTGCTTGGGGTGGACCTGCAGAGGAGCCTCGCGTGCTTGTTCTCCGTGACGAGGTTTATGAACTCAGTTGCTTTCCCTAGGCAAATCCTTCTGTACAGCAATTTCTGTGGAAAAGTGGTTCTGGGGGGTTACAGCAAAGTATTGCTATTTGAAAGAGGGAACATTTACTTAAAAGGCTTGAACTTAATGTGCCCGTGTATTTGCAGTATTCAAAACAATGTATAAATCACTGTTTGTTGTCTGGTGCATTTCTCTCCTCTCCTGCTTGCCAAAATTACCCCAGTAAGAAGCAAGAACTGCAGTTTACTTGCTTTTTTCTCAGCTTCGGTTTCTTCATTTGATGCAAATACACTGTTAGGTTACATGTTCACACTTTACATATCTATAAAAGTAATCTGATTTCCAAATTAAAATATTCTTTTCCTTACACTGCCAGTCTTCAGCAGAAAGGCTGAGGTGTAGCAGTGTAATTATTATTAATTTGCATAGGATGGATAAACCACATTTTCCTTTCACTCTAGTGAGGCTAAATCCTTCTCAGTTAAGACAGCTGAGCCAGCACTGACTGGAGATAAATGAAAAGACTGACCATTCTGCCTGAGCCAAAGGATGATGCCACGCTGGTTCATTTGCAAAGTCACCAGTTTGAGTTTGGTCATGGGCTCCTGCTTGATATTCGTCACTGCTGGCCCAAACTGAGCTCTGAAATGGCCGGGGCTGCTCCCACCATGACCAATTGGACCAGGAGCTGCCTGCACCAGCTGCCGGGCTCTGCACACCGGCATGTGAAGAACCTCAGCTACTCCATCACATATGTGGAGTCACTGCTCAAAACAGAAAAAAAACATAGTTAAAAACACTTGACCAACTCTCAGAGTAGCAGGAATTTTCTGAAGCAATTGCTGCAGTGTATTGGGAGATATTCCACATTATGAAGTGGGGGAATACCTAAAGGCTTTTAAATAAACTTCTTCCATCCAATGTCACCTTTTCCTGCCCCCAGGCAGTGTCTGCTGTTAGCTCCTGGCAATGAAGCGGAAAGCTGCACGGGGCTGCGGAGCGGGGTGCCCATGGCTGCTGCGATCAGGGCAGCGTGGCCGGTGCAGAGGGAGCTCCAACCGGAGCCACGGAACACGGCTCCTGGGACCGCCAAGCACAAAACCCTCCTGAAACCGGAGTCGATGGGCGCGGGGAGCTGAACGGGTGCAGCACCGCAGGGCTCCGGTGAGCCAGCTTCCCACTCCCGAATTATCACCTCCCTTGTGTATCCCTCTGTTTAACTGAAAGATGTCAAAAATGAATATCATAAAAAGTGCATCAATTGGACAGTTCCTCTGAACCCAGTTCCATTTATGGGTGGTAAGGGGGTTTGGTGAGTGGGCGTTTGTTTAGCCCTTGCGTGAATGGTATGTGGTGTGTGTTTTAGCAACGGGCCGCTGCGTCAGCTGCCGCATGCCTGGAAATGCTCTCACTTGAATAATTTCTTTCTTGATCATAGATTACAATGTAAACCATGTTTTATGGTGACTCCTAACAATCCCCACTGAAGAAAACAAACCAGTTAAAGAATGCTTGCAAAATGGAGTGAGGTTTTTTGCTGTTCTAAGTTGTGTTCTCATTTGTTTTGAGGTATTTTTGTCATCGTCGCTGGGAAGCACAGCTGTCTGTGGTACTGGCAGAAATACTCACTGGTTTGAATGAATCAAATGCATAATAAAAATAATAGCATATTAAGCAGCTAAAATATTGCATTTTTAAAACTGAGAATGGCTATAAAAGTTACTCAATTTGAATAAATTAAAAATAAATACCAAGTTGAAACCAGCACAGTGTTTCTCTATGTAGCAACAGAAATCTCATTAAGAATAGTGTGCATTAGTTGGGGTGTGTGTAATCAGTGTAGGTCCTGTTTATTTGCTTAAGCTATGAAAGATTTCATGTGCTATTAATGAATGTGATTATTTTTGCTGACTTCTCTGATTACACCCGTTGCCACAGCTTGGGCAGTCCCTCCTTGGAGATTTCCTGGACTTGGCTGGACAAAGTCATGAGAACCCAGTCCAGTTCAAACTTAGCCTGCTTTGAGCAGGAGGTTGGACTAGGTGGTCTCCGTCAGCGCCGTTTTTCTGCAGCTTTGCAGCTATCGCACAGCGTGGGCTGCTGGAGGGTC